AAAAAAATACAGAATACCATATACCCATAAAGATGAAATAACCAGGCAAGTAAATATATTAATTAAAGATAATATTATAGAATCATCAGCTTCTGAGTATAACAGCCCTGTCCTGTTAGTGCCAAAGAAGTCATTAACATAAATGGACAATCTGACAAGAGATGGAGATTAGTTGTAGATTATACGGGGATTAATAAAAAATTAATTGCAGATAAATTTCCTTTGCCAAGAATAGATGATATTCTTGGTCAATTAGGTAAAGCAAAATATTTCTCTTGCCTCGATTTGACATTTGGTTTCCATTAAATTGAACTAGATGAAAATTCACGGGGCATTACGTCATTTTCTACAGGTAAAGCATCATTCCGTTTTAAACGTCTACCATATGGGTTAAAAATTGCTCCAAATTCATTCCAACGAATGATGACAGTAGAATTTTTAGGTTTAACTCACGAACAAGCATTTCTGTACATGGACGATTTGATAGTCCTCGGATGTTCAGAAAAACATATGTTAAAAAATTTAACTGACGTATTTAAAATATGTCGAAAATATAACTTAATATTACACCCAGATAAATGCTCATTTTTCGGTCACCAAGTGACTTACCTTGAGCATAAATGTACAGACAAAGGCATTTTGCCGGATGAAATTTCAAACAATCTTCGATTATCCGACACCAACAAATGCAGATGCTATTAAACGATTCGTTGCATTCTGCAACTATTACAGACAATTCGTTCCTAATTTTGCAAAACAATCCCGCGTTTTAACGAGGCTCTGCAAGAAAAATGTAAGATAGATAAAAAACAGTGCACGAATTGTTTCACAATTCAATAAAATCAATAAAATCCTAATTAAAAAAGGAAAAAAGTAATAAGCACTATAAGACAAAAAGAAATTAGTGTTCATGGAAAAATTGATTTAGATCAAATATTTTTAAAGCTTGAAAATATAGCTAGCAGTAATAAAATAAAACGATTCCAATTATTACTAGATGATATTACTAGAAACGCAATCAAATTAAACAATTTAAAAGACATAGCAAACAAAAGAAAGCACATAGAAATTGCTATACTAACGTGTTTTGAAAAAATAATAGACGACAACTAGAAACTTAAAATACTCGAAAAGTTTCATAACGATCCAATTCTTGGAGGTCATCCAGGAATCCAACGCATGAATACCAAAATAGGTAAATACTTTTGTTGGAAAAATATGACAGCAGACATCCGAAAATATGTTAAAGGCTGTCGTAAATGTAAATTAAATAAAATCTTAAGACATACCAAACAACCAATGATATTGACTTCAACTCCACAAAATGCATTTGACAAAGTGGTGATAGATACTATTGGTCCCTTGCCGTGAACAGAATACGGCAACGAATACGCTGTTACAGTGATGTGTGATTTAACAAAGTATTTAATCGCAATTTCTCTTCCAAGCAAAAATACGGTGGTAGTTGCAAGGGCAATATTCGAAAATTGCATACTCATCTATGGACCCTTGACAACAGTAATTACTAATATGGGTACTAAGTATAATACTCAACTATTCAGAGAACTATTAAACCTCCTGGATATAAAGTCAACAACTTCTAGAGCAATTCACCACCAAACGCTGAGAACTATGGAGCGAAACCACAGAACGTTCAACGAATATGTGAGAAATTACATTTCGAGCGAACGAGATGATTGGTACAAATGGCTTAGGTATTACACGTACTATTACAATACAACACCCTTAACAGTACATGATTACTGCCGTTACGAATTAATATACCGTAAGGTACCAATCATCTATAACTACCTAAAAGAAGGCCAGGTAGACCCTGTCTACAATACAGATGCCTATGATAAAGAAGTCAAAAATAAATTACAGATCTTAATAGATAGGCATAAAAATAGAAATAAGACAATTTACGATAGGACTTCTACTAAAATACAGATAGATATAGGAGATTTAGTATATATTAGTAATTCAGCTGAACATAAGTTAGGCAATAGGCAATATAACAGAGCATATAGGATAGTTAATAAAGATAATAAAAATAGTATTATAATTACAGATAATGCAAAAACTTGGGCAGTGCACATGGATAGAATAAAAAAAGACACTAAATAAATAATACGTGAACAAAGTTTTAAACATAAAATTTTTTTTTGTATTTAAATGTATTTAAATAAATAAATACAAAAATAATTATTTTATACAGTAATTAATTTTTTTATATATTTATATTTTATAGATTGCATAGTAAAGTAATATGTAAATATTAATAAAAAAAATGTAATAAATAAATTTATGTAAATAAATTCACTCAACAAAAAAAAAATAAACAAAAAGAAAAGGGAGGTATAGCATGTACACACTTTGTATATATATAATTCTATAAATGCATATTAAGGTGCATATAAAATAACATTAAATGGTTAACGTACAGTGTTGTGAATGTGCCTATGTAGCACATTCCCATCATTGACTTCAGCCATATCCAAGCAGCCAGACTGCTGCAATATGAAACCTCACTAATGTGAGATAATAAAATGTATACATGCTACTCTGTTGTGTTAGTGCTTGCCGGCGTACTAACACAATTATGTAGTTGCTAGTTTTAAGGTAAAGTAAGCAGAACAATTTAATAAAGAATTATACTTGAACATAAGCGGTCGCATTTTCTTTTAATTGATTTGTAATGTTATTATAATATTACAAACTTTCAAACAGTACACGAACAGTTTAAATCGAACTCAATTATTCGATAAAAATACCAAATATGAAATAAGCAGATCTGGAAAAATTGAACCTCCGACGTGAAGAACATGAAAACGTAATCAAAAGGCAAGAACAAATAATTGCACAGCTGCAACTTTTGCAACAACAGCTGGTACTTCAAGCAATAAATCGATCTGTAATGGAGCCAATATTACAGACACTAAACCAATTTAGGCATCTCCGACCATTTTCGGATAATAAAAACAACAGTCTTATATCAGTTATAAAATCGGTAGATGGTAGCGTAACTTCAAAACAAATAGTAACAGTAATAAATGACAAGTTAATAGGAGAAGCTACAGGAATCATTAGAATCCTTGGACCTGATTCATCGCGGCAAAATATTCCTACACTGAAACAATATTTTAGGCTGAAGGAAACCTATGGAGATTTATTTAATCAAGCAAGGGATATTAAAGGTATATAAAGGTTATATATAAAGGTAAGTAATAATATAAAATGTAATCTAAACGATATGTGTGAATTTGATGAGGATAAGCCTGAGTTGTATAGACCAGAATATATATATAGTAGATCCCTATTCAAATTCTAGTAGAAAAAATAAGTAGACATGTTAGAGCTCATATTCATTAATATGAAACCATAAATACGATTTACAGAAGATAGGCAAAATTAAAATTGCTTATTGATTCAAGATGCATTGAATATAATTATAGAAAACAAAAAACTCAATAGAAAATATAATTAATCAAAAAAAAATGAACAACAAATAAAAAATAATTACAATCAGAATCCTTCCTTAGTTGGCCATTACAGACGTGTGTCGTCCTTGGCCGCGTCGAGTAGCCTCCGCCAGTCAGCCCAATTAGTTGCCTTCTGACGCCAGTTGGTAGTACCGAGCGCCCCCAAATCGTTGGTCACCTGGTCCTTCCACCGCAGATGCGGACGTCCTCTACCGCGTTTTCCACCTGCGGGTATCGAATCAAATACCCTTCAACCCCGAGCACTTTCTTCCATTCGCACGACATGACCAAGCCAGCGTAGCCGCTGAATTTTTATGCGCTTAACTATTTCAATGTCGCGGTACAGCTCATCGTTCCATCTAATTCGATACTCGTCGCCAACGCGTAAGGGACCATAGATCTTCCGAAGAATTTTTCTCTCGAATGCTCCTAACGCCTTCTCATCACTGTTGGTAATTGTCCAAGCTTCTGCACCATACAGCAGGACAGGCATGATAAGGGATTTGTAGAGCGTGATTTTTGTTTGTCGAGAGAGGGCTTTATTTCTCAATTGCTTACTTAGCCCGAAGTAACATTTGTTGGCAAGAGTAATTCTTCGTTGAATCTCTAGGCTGACGTCATTTTTGGTGTTTAAGCTGGTTCCTAAATAAACAAAGTCTTTCACAACTTCGAACTTATAATTGTCAACAGTGACGTAGGTCCCAAGACGCTCAGGAGATTTGTTTGTTGACAGAAAGTACTTTGTTTTGTCCTCATTTACCACAAGACCCATTAAAAACTTCATTGATATATTTGGAAATAAAATAATTTTTCAAGAACAAATATATATCCTTTTAATTCAGAATCAATACATACTTTGGAAAGTAGAGAGAACATATACGAAAATATTAAATTAGACCATTGAAATAATGAAGAACAGTTAATAATAACAAATTTATTTTCCGATTTTAATGACATTTTTTATAAAGAAAGTGATAAACTTAAAGCAACTTATGAAATATTTCCTAAATAACTACAAACACAGAAATGCCTTTATATTCAAAAATATAAAGATATTCTCAAGTTCATGAAAAAGAAATAGAGAGACATATAAACAAAATGCTAAAGCAAATTATAATAATCCACTAACCCTTTCCTTATCGGTGGTGACTTCAATAAACGAAATCAATTATAACTTTCTTACTTTCTCGCATCGATTAGTTTGGGTTTCAAGTGCTCAAACTAATCAACATAGAAAATACAAGTAGTTTGGGTTACAAGTGCTCAAACTACTTTACACATAAAAATTGGCTACCAAGCTAACACAGATTAAGGATCTGGGTTAGCACCAAGTAGCGTACATTTTTTGGTGACCCCAACGTGATTATTGATATAATATCAATTTTCATTTCATTATCCTGACGAAGAACACTTCGAAGGAGTCAACTGTCTACAAAAAGGACATAATCAGGGGTACTTCACTCATCAAGCAGCTGAAGTATTTATTGGAATTTTCGGACCGAAAATTCAAACATCGCCATGGATGCGTTATTAAAGAAGCAGTTAGAGCTCGGTACAAAGATTGAGCGACTGATAACCAATTTCAAAAAGGATTCTAGTACCCGCAAGCAGGATTCCATTTACTATGAAGAACGACTAAAGAAGCTACATTCCCTATGGAATGATTTTGAAATAAATGATGCTGAAATCAAAGCATTGCCACAACCTGAACTCGGACACGAGTATTTCAGTACAGGTTACTTTGAAAAAATCTCCAATCTAGTAATCAAATATGATGAAAGATTCAAGTTGGAGAAATCAAGGCTACTCCTGAAACCACAGGACGGGAAGCCAGTAGTAAGCCCAAGAGGGTCAAACAAAGCTACATCGCTCATGCGAAACATCAAAAGGCAATCCTCATTAATGCATGCATTACGCGCAAGCATAGATGAAATTTATGAGGAAATTACCATAAAACATCATCCTAGTTATTATGATCTGAAATATTCTCTGATAGAAAAATATCAGAAGGATCTGAGGGATAACAATGATGAAATATGGTCATCAGCCGACGCAGAAGACATCGTCGGAAACACTTGGGATCAATACTATTCAACGGATAAAGATGCCCAAAACGCGTTGATATATTTAAAACAACACAGTCAACCAACTGAAGGATTGACGTCAGAGGGGCCTGCAGCAACTCAACGAATCAGACTTCCAAAAATAGTTTTACCAACATTTGATGGAGACTATTTGAAATGGATTGAATTTAGAGATTTGTTTCAACAATTGATCCATGATCAATCAATAAGCGCAGCCCACAAAATGTTCCATCTATCTACAAATTTGGCGGGTGAGCCAAAAGCCCTCATACGGCATCTGCCAATTTCTGAGCAAAATTACAATATAGCTTGGGATATTCTGTCAAATCGGTATGACAACAAACGACTCTTGGTGACAGCATTACTAAATAAATTGTTATCACAACCAAATATAACAATTGAATCATCAAGCAGTCTTAACGGCATACATGATGTTACAAAAGAATGTTATTATGGATTAGCAGCTCAAGGTATTGATGTTAAATCTTGGGACGCCATAATGGTTCACGTAATTATTAGAAAGCTAGACAAAGCTTCACATACAGCATTCGAGCAATCGTTAGAAGACAGCCGAAGAATAATTTCATTAAAAGAATTATTGCGGTTCCTAGAAGGAAGATTTCAGGCATTCGAATCAATGACGAATGGGAACCACAAACAAAGTCACAAACCACGACATCCAGCAGTAGCACTTGCAGCTACAGACTCAGGATCAAAATGTATTACTTGCAATAGAAGTCATAAATTATTTTCATGTGAAACTTTCAAACGTAAATCCATACAACAAAAGTACGATTTACTAAAACGTCATAAATTGTGCACAAACTGCATGAAATCTGGTCATATGGCATTACAATGCTCCAGCAGGGGTTGTACTATATGCCAAAGAAGACATAATACACTGTTGCATCAAAATAGACATCCAGTTCAACCATCAAATCATACGTCAGTTGAAAACACTTCAAGGCCACTTGCACAAACAACTCTAATGTCATCCATCAATCATGGTCATACCAGTTGCGTTCTTTTAGGAACAGCAAAACTTTTAGCCTCCAACTCTAATGGAAGAACAGTCGTGTGCAGAGCAGTACTGGATTCAGATTCACAAATAAATATTGTGACTGAACGATTGGCATCCAGATTGGGGCTGCAAGTAAGCTCCAGTTCGATTTGCATCGAAGGCATAGGGATAGGTAAATTGAGTTCAAAAAGTCGTACAACACTTTCTGTGCAATCAAAAGTGACCGATTACAAAACAATACTTGAAGCATTTGTGTTGCCAAAAATTGTATCCAATCAACCATCGCAACACTTACAAATTTCAAATTGGAATCTGCCCAATAACATCCAATTAGCAGATCCTACATTCTATAAGTCTGACAAAATTGATATGTTGCTTGGAGCAGAATTTTATCATCAACTCCTAAGTCCTGGTCAAATACAACTTTCAAGGGAACTACCAATTCTACAGAACACTGTGCTCGGATGGATCGTATCTGGAAAAGTCCAAAATGCTAACACAATGATTGCAACATGTGGAATAGCATCAGAAGATAGTTTAGAAAATGCAATAGAACAACTCTGGAAGGTTGAAGAAGTTGATACTCACTCAAAGGTCTTGTCAATAGCAGAGCAACAATGTGAAGCTCAATTCACTCAAACTACATATCAGAATGTTACAGGACGATTCATGGTACGTCTTCCTTTTATAAATGACAGATTCGCTTTGGGAGATTCGAAAGACATTGCTACAAATAGATTTCCAGCACTAGAGCGTAGACTTTCAAAGGATAGTCACCTCAAACGACAATACGTAGAGTTTTTAGATGAATATGAAAAATTGGGACATATGACCGAAATAGATATTGAAAGGATTATGTCACCACATTACTTTATACCACACCATTGTGTGCTTAAACCCGACAGTACCACCACTAAGTTACGTGTGGTATTTGATGCATCATCCAAAACAACATCAGGGCAATCTCTCAATGATTTACTACACACCGCACCAACTGTTCAAAGTGAATTACTGTCTATTTTATTACGATTCCGTCTTCCTCGTTATGTGTTTACAACAGACATTGAAAAGATGTACCGACAAATACTTGTACATCCAGAAGACAGACAATGTCAGCTCATTGTTTGGAGAAATGAACCAAGTCAACCTATAAAGTACTTTGAACTCAACACAGTAACATATGGTACTAGATCAGCACCGTATCTAGCAACCAAATGTTTGCAAGTTTTAGCTGATGACAATATGCAAAATTATCCATTAGGTGCATCTGCTCTCAAACAAAACTTCTATGTAGATGACTGTTTACACGGGGCAGATAGTCTGAGAACATTGTTGGAAACTCAGAGTCAATTTAACAAAATACTGACAGCAAGCGGTTTTAAATTGCGAAAATGGTGCGCAAATCATCCAAGTTTACTACAAGGAATTCCACACGATGACCTAGAAGTCAATTTAGATTTAGAAAATAATAACGATACAACAAAAACTCTTGGATTATCCTGGTGTCCAAAATCTGATAGTTTATGCGTCAAGGTTAAATTGGAACCTGTTTGCAGCACGACGAAGCGCAGTGCAACCTCAGATTTAGCAAGACTATTTGATCCACTAGGACTTTTGTCACCAGTTGTGGTGATGGCAAAGATCTTTATTCAAGAATTATGGAATTTAAAGATGGATTGGGATGAAAAACTGCCGACTGAATTACATAAACAGTGGTTAGAGTTCCGGAACAATTTGACGAAAGTAAATTGTCTACAGATATCTCGTCATATTTTCAAGGGCGAAGTTCCTGCCAACATTCAATTACACATCTTTACAGATGCATCAGAAAAGGCATATGGTGCTGCAGCGTATTTGCGATCAACACTTCAGAATGGTCAAATTATTGTACGACTATTGTGCGCTAAGTCTCGGGTTGCACCTTTGAAAAGGTTGACATTACCTCGTCTCGAACTTTGTGCAGCTGTGGTTGGCGCAGAACTAGCAACAAGAATAAAGAACGACCTACAAATAAGAAATTACCAGACGTTCTTTTGGTGTGATTCACAAATAGTGATATCATGGATCAACTCTCCATCATCAAAGTTTCACACTTTCGTTGCAAACAGAGTAAGCAACATTCATCATTTAACAGCCACAAGTCAGTGGCGCCACGTCAGTTCGGAACACAATCCAGCTGACATTTTATCAAGAGGCCTTGCACCCCATAAACTACAGTCATCAAGTATGTGGTTTTATGGACCTATGTTCCTGCATGGTCGGGAAGAACTGTGGCCTTCAAAACCATCATCAGCGTTAAAATCAGAAACCCTCATTGATCCTGAACGGAAGAAGAAAACTCCAGTATCTACATTGTCTGTTGTTGAAGGCACAGTAAATCCTGGAGAGTTCATATACTCAATACGACACAACAACTCATTTGGAAGACTTCAACGGATATTATCGTATATATTAAGATAAAAGAACCAGAAGAAAACAAAATGATCATTCAAGCAATTTTTTGACTCCAGATGATCTAGATGCAGCACATCAGGTCATCATCAAAAGTATTCAATATGCAGAATTCAAAAATGAAATCAAAATTATGAAATCTGATGGAAGAATAAATAAGTCCAGTGCATTGGCATCACTGGCACCTTTTATTGATAAAACGGGCATCATAAGAGTTGGTGGACGTTTGGATGCAGCCTCATTATTGTATGACGCCAAACATCCTATGTTGTTGCCTTATAACGACGCCATTGTCAAATTAATAATGGAACAAGTCCATAAGAAATACATGCACTGTGGTCCGCAGTCTCTCCTAGCTAACATGCGTCAACGATACTGACCAATTAAGGGCAAATTGATGGCAAGGTCAGTAGTACAACATTGTGTACGTTGTACTAAAGTAAGACCACGATTTTATGAACAACTGATGGGTAATTTGCCAGCGACAAGAGTACAACCTGGGCGACCATTCCTCACCACTGGAGTAGACTTTTGCGGACCCTTTTGGATACATTACAGAATCCGAGGCAAGAAACCACACAAGGCATACATTGCTGTGTACTGTTGTTTTACAACTAAGGCAGTTCACCTCGAAGTAGTTAGCGATTTAACCACAGATGCATTCATCGGTTCGCTGAAACGTTTTATTGCTCGAAGAGGACACTGCAAAAATTTGTTTTGTGACAATGCCACAAATTTCGTGGGAGCAAGCAATCAATTACTTGAACTTGCAGACTCAATTCAAACAAGCAAGGCACAAGAGAAGATAATTAACGAATGTAATGAAAGAGGAATAACATTTAAATTTATACCTCCTCGTGCACCGCACTTCGGTGGACTGTGGGAAGCAGCAGTCAAATCAGCAAAACACTTATTGATACGAAGTACTAAGACGACTTCACTAACATATGAGGAACTAGAGACTGTGGTATTAGAAGTCGAAGCAATACTGAACTCTCGACCATTGACACCTATGTCGAGTAATCCGAATGACTTGTCAGCACTAACACCTGGTCATTTCTTAATCGGAGAACCACTCACAGCAATGGCAGATGCAAAGGCCCAATCAGGAAATATAAATCTGGTGACAAGGTGGAAATTAGTTTCTCGCCTCAAATTGGACTTTTGGGAACGTTGGAAAACCGAGTACCTCACTGAACTACAATGTCGACACAAATGGAAAGCAGCCAATCTAAATATAAAAGAAGGTACCCTTGTAATCATCAAGGAAGACAATGTTCCTACATTAAAATGGCCGCTTGGACGTATTTCAAAGGTATATAAGGGAGATGACGGTCTTGTTCACGTGGTCGATGTTAGAATGGCATCAGGAACTCTAAGACAAGACAAGATTTTTGACAAGACTAGCGCCTCTGTTGCCAGCCGATGAACAATCTCCTGTTTCTGATGAACAACTTTCAAAAAGTTTTACAAAAGCGAATTCGAAAACACCACACGAAGACGCAGATCAAGACGAGCCACCTAAAAAGTATTCACGGCCAATGTCTAATTCATTACTGTGCACAATGTTATTATCTCTATTATTCTTGCCATTGGTATTAGGGAATTCAGTGAATGTAACACGTTTCGACAATAATTTAGGAATATACTTTGAATCCATTGGCTTGATGAAAGTAGCAACGGCAGAATGGAAAATGATTGTTTACTATGATCTTCATCCATATTGGACCGAAATGGACTCCTTCAAAAACGGGACTAAAA